GCATATTCACAAAGATTCATGTTTGTCCATTTTATCAGTCTGAGAATAATCGGATAATAAATGTTGGTCATTAGGCAATAACAAATTGCACTTTAAGTCAACGCAGGAGTTATAACAGAAGTATTGCTGCTTTTTACTGAACACGGTGTACTTTTTAAAAGCATGACAGACAGCCTGGTAAATGTATGTGTACACGTGGTTAATGACATTTTTGTCAAAAAATGGGTGAGTTAAGCTTCAGCGCCCAATGTCACACTATTTTATACTAACAGAGGCTATGTGTGTATGTTGCACCCCAGGTGACTCGGGATGGCATCACCCCAGGGGGTACATTAAATTATTAACTCCAAAAGCTGAAAACTGTAATAAAACAGATCAGGCAAACACTGTATGTGCTGTGGCATGGAGTCAATGTTACCCTCTCAAAGCACGGAGTCAGAATGACTAAGAGAACAAAGGCTCCCACCACATGGCCAGTGTTCTGCCTGCACAGGAAGTGTAATGTAACCACTAGCTGGAACCTCTCTGGCTGTTTCCTGTCGCACCCTGCAGCTAGGCACCAAACAGCTGCAGACAGTACATGTACTTCCATAAAAAATATTAGGGGGTTCGAATAAACAATGCAAAACTCTGGCTCTGACAAACAGTAAACCCTAACCATCTGTCCATGACCTCTACATGTATTTCATCAAGATTGTAAGTACTAAGCATGGCAAAAGGCACACTTATGGAAATATCTATGCAGGCAACCATAAGCACAACCATTCAAATGATGTCATGAAGAAGTGCTTACACTTACAGTTAGCAATTTTTGGTTATAGTGAGCACAACTTTTCTACTACCTATTAAGCAATAGTTTTGACAAAAATTAAAACCCAACTGTACCTGATAGTTTACCTTTAGCATCTGTATTCATGAAGGAATAGCCTTTTCTAGAGGAAAATGTAGGTATTGTACTGCACGTATTAGAGTTGGGCTTACATGCATGTTACAGGTGGTTAATTGCCAATGTGATTTTTTAATTAACTTCTTTGATATACATCTCTTAGAAGGTTTTAAGAACAAGTGATAAAGCCAGTGATGCTAAAAATTCCAGTGAAGTTCCTGGTGTTGAAAGATGGCAAGTTAATTCAAACAGCTCCATTTAGAAATCACAGGCTTTTGTTTCTAAGCCAATGGCTTTTACTACCTCTGTAGATCTGAAGGCTTACAACTAGATGAAGATTTAGTAGAGGATTCCTTGTCTGAAGTGACACTGTTTTGCTCTTTGCTAGTAAATGGTACATTTCACTTGGAGACAGCAAAGATTTACTACACTATACAGCAGTCACATTTAGGGACACAGGTGCTTCACAGTTCTTGCTACTGGAAAGTGTTAGTAAATATTTAGTTTATAATCACCCTTTCCCCCTCTGATATACCCTCAGACTTAGTGCGCTAACCTTAAATACCTAGCGTGGACTTGTGAACAAAAGATGTCCATGATGCAGGAAAGGAAGACGTTTTGTGGACTTACACATGTACACAGGATGTTTCCCCTTCTCTGAAAAAGAAGTTTAGAGGCATTCTAGGGGTCATCTGTCGTAATAGGAAAAGTAATAGTTAAGGAAACCTTGTACAAAAAACAGCTGAAAATTGTGTTCCCACTTCAAAAAAATGAGTACATGAATTTTCACCGAGTTTTCTTATTAAACTGCATGAAAAGAAAGGAATGTCAACAGTAAGTGTGTATGTGAGTTTGTTTCTGCATTCAATTGGGGACCCTGAACAATAGAGGACAATAAGGTGTCCAACTGACAGAGGGTCCCCGATTGACAACTGTGTACAAAACATATGGGTGGTCTTCTAAAATAGTACAAACAAAAGAGGAACAATAGGGGGTCCCCAGTTGCAGGCAAATACACACTTGTGTGGGTACGTGGGTGCAGGCGTGGCATACATAGTGTGGACCTCTGCACAAAAGAAGTCCACACAATGTAGGGTGCAATGCCGTAGTGTGGACTCCCACATGTCCACACGTTTCCCCCTCTGAAAACTAGTTTCAGAGGCATTTTGGGGTCAATGTTATCCATGGCAAAATGAAGAGGAACAGTCAAGGAAATCATCATCAAAATCCAGCTCAAAGGAGTTATCCTAGTTAGAGAAAAAGGAGCATTTCTTCAAGCTTCCTTAACCACAGGACAACAAAGTAATGTACCCACTTCGTATGTAAAACAGGTATGTGTGTGTGCTGGTGTCTTTTAAATTGCCTACTGCCTTTTTTGCACAAGCTTTGATTAGGTCGACTTTTAAGCAACCTGCACACTGCACTCTATAGGCATAGGTACTTGTTTTAACATCGTAAGAAATGTTAACAGTTGCTTCGGGTAGGGAATTAGACTGTTTGAAACCAGATATGCTACCATCAATTTTGTTTAGTTCCCTGACCCAAAGGTTTAAAATCTTTGGGATAATCTTTCGGTCTTGTAGCTCCCATGGTCACAACCAAACGAGGAATTATTTCCACAAAATTGTCAATCACTTTGGAACCCATTGTTACAATCACATCTTCCTTTTTTTCAAAAGTTTTCAGCATGGTTTTTACAAACACATTTTATTGTTTTAAAGTTAATGTTGGGTTCCCCGCAAAAGCCCTTTTTCCACAGATTCTTCAACCTTGCAATTTATTTCTGGCACCCATAAAATATGTAGGGAGGCACAACCCTCGAGCTTTATAGAAATCAGTTTTTCCATTCTTTCCCTCTTGAGTTCTTTGTTTTAGCCATTTTTCAACTGCCCTGGAAAAAATTGTAGCACCTGTCCAGACATCAACTGGTTCACATACAAAAGGTCCACAGTGTATATAACGTCACCATGGCTATGTGTGCTTGTTTGCAGTTGTTTCAATGCAAAGGAGTTGCTGGGTGGGATTTTTCTAACTTTATCTATTTTGTAAATGTGGTTTCACCACCCAAACAAAGAAGGTCTTTAAACCTCTTAGCTCTTTTATGGTCTGGGCTCCCCATTTCAATTCTAATTATTGTGGGTTGGGGGTCCACTTAGCTGTAACTGCATACAGCTTATCTTCTGCACTTAACCAACTCGAGCACAACTCTTTCATGTAAACCACTGACATAAAAAAAGAATCCTCAAATGAATGTACATGTCCTCCATGGAACCAATAAGAAAAATTGTGTGTGTTTATAGATAATCCGGCAGCAAGCTATTAAAACACTGCAAATTAGAAGAAATATACATGCCAGAGAGCCTCTCAGTGAACAGTTTCAACACATGCTCAATGATATTGTTACACTTTTTAATAAGATATAAATGCAAAGGTGAAAACAGCACATGCTTCTGAATGAAGAGATCATCTGATAGGCCTACCTCATGACAATTACATGACGTGACTTAGCAGCACAATCATTGTATTATTGTGGGACTCCTTTTCATGCCTTGCGATGACACTTGTGATATCTTGCATGTGATTGAAAGCATGAAGTGAAATAATATTCCACCTTTCTATCATGTATTGCTAACATGGGGGTACGTGGCCTCACTGGCGGTTTGTAGCTTCTGATCATAGGGTCAGAGGATCAAATCCAGCATGTGGAAGTATGTTGTTATCTTGGGCAAGTCACTTCACCCCTATGTGCCTCTCTCCACCTAGAAGTACATTGAGACAAACATGGTTATGTTTAGCCATTTGTACTGGAAGAATTGGGCTAGTATACTTCCCAGGGAGCTGAGACAATTTCAGGAATGTTCAGAAGTTTTTTCCCCTCTCCTGACCAGTTGGTTAAACGTTCACTCCAGATGTGTTGATTGAAGGTGAACCTGTGTCTGTGTCTTTTCCTTAGTAAATTAGGTTAGCCAGGTTCTGGCAGAAAGCTGTTTCTTTTATTATTAAAAAATTAGCTTGAGCTTGTTGGAGTGAAGTGTGAAATGGAAGTGATGTGGAAAGTACCATAGCAACTGTAGGCTAAGAGTCAGAATGCCAGATGATTGCGCTATGTCAGCATGACATTTGAGTAGCTCCCAAAAGCATTTTCTCATTGGCCAAAAGACACAATTAGAGGCACTTTTGCCCAGTAGGCACAAATCCAGGTGTCTCATGCAACAACTTACCTGCCGCTGTTAAAACAGAACCGAGGAAAACCTTGCCTGTCAGATTTTGTTGTCAGGGCCAGCAGTGGAGCAGAACTCAACCACCTTACACACTTTCCACTGAAGAAACTTGTAAGTGTAAACACCCTATTTATTTTGGCAGATTATTTTCTAAAGTTCACTGATGTTTTGACAAGATGAAGTTCCTCTCCGTCTCTGAAAATATTGATAGAATTTGTAGATGTAATTTGATTTGAATTCACAGTTATATTTGTCAAGGGTGAAGGATTCACCTGTGTAAATTAATCCAAAAGCTATTACAGATTATTTTGAAGTTTGAATTATAGTCAGGAACTTATCTTTTCCTTCCAAATTAGAAATGTAATAATTGTACAGTTTGGCCATTTCTTTAAAATTAGATGGTCAGTGGTCACTCTTGATGTCAAACACAACTATCCTATTACCCGTGCTACCCGGTGTTACAAATTGATTTGGACGACACAACGTCTACAAATACTCGAGTGCAGTGCTGAGAATTAAGCAAGCAAGAGTTGACAGAGCGGGAGCCAGAACTAAACTATAACGGATGTTTCCATTGAAAACTACATGTATTTCTAAATGAGAAAGAACAAAGCCTTGGTGCATTTTTATGACATTGAACTCTAATCTTCTGTGATTGTAAGGAGCCTGAAATGATTTGTAAAGGTTCAAATTGATTTCATATTTCACTGATTGAATTTGAATTTGATTTTTTGTTAGTAACAAAATACATTAAATCGGATAGCCGAGAATCAGAAAACGAAGAGATAATTTAACAGTTGATTATAAACCTCATTTTTCCCTGCAACTTGATGAAATCCTTGATTGAATCGTGTTCGTTTTATGCCTATATATAAAGTTTGTAAATAAAGCAGTTGTAAACCAGAAAGGAAGAACACTTTAATATTGAGAAGTTTCCACCTCATCCTTTGGGCAGTCACATTCTTACAAAGAATGCATGATAGAAAGGTAGAATATTACCTCACCTCATGCTTGCAATCACATGTAAGATATCACAATTGATGTTTGGTAAGGCACAAAAGGGAGTCCAACAATAATTGACTGATTAAGCCCACTGAGTCATGTGACCCAAAGTGGGTATCAAACATGGCAGCCTCCTATAGCAAAGAGAATTGTAAGTGCTGCAGAACAAAAATATAGCCAATTCTCATTATAGCACTCAGCACACCAGTAGGCTGGGTACTGAACTGACTGTTGCATTTATTTGGGGAAACAACACTTACAACACACATTGCTATGTGATTTTTGTGAGGACACCATGTCTGTTGGTGTTTGATACCACAACAGGTCACATGAACAATCCGTCTATTTATCCAGACATATATGTTCAACCAAACAGTTCAGACAAAACTTTGTAATGTTTCACTAAAACTCCACCATAAAACAGAGTTCAACTCCTATGGAAACTATTACACGAGGCACAGTAAAACTACATGAATAGCTTGTTATAATTACATGAGGCAAAAATTCTTGTGGTACATTTAATTAACAATTTCACGGTTCAGCTTGCTTTAATACATTAAATAACTACATTGTTTAATGCATCTATTTGCCATCTAATATTTAGCAAACCCAGTCTATTATTCATCCAACCTCTTAATATAACAAATTTAAATGTACAATATTTTCAAAGTTCGCAAAAATATCTGAGAATTCCCTTAGATTCACAAGGGTGCTGACTGAAAGTTTCAATTTTAAACCAGTTTAGAACTACTATTTTTTAACACAGAGACACACACCTCAGTCCTGACTGCCAATCATTTTCCATGATCTAATATATTTTGCATGAGTATACAAATGTAACAATATACACTGTGACTGGGAATGGGGAAACTTTAAAAAAAAAAAAGACTTGCCACTCCATTTGCATTTAACAAAGTGTAAAAATGTTTTTCCACTTGTGTCCAAAGACGCAAATATCTTATCCCACTCATGAGGTATGAAAACCATTTCTAACTTGTGTGGAAAGGTGAAATTTTGTCCATTGTTGGAGAAAGTGCGAAAAGCACCTCCCATTGTAAGAAAGTAATTCACTTTTGTGATACGAAAATGAATTCCAAAGAAGAGAAAACGTGGGCAGAGAATTTCCTTTCCAATGTTAAGTTTCATATAAGTTAACTTCACAGTCCCTCAAATGATGCAAAAAAGGAATGGGGTTTTGCAAACATGGTGATAGAAGCAAGAAATATAAGGGAGAAAAACACCGACCAGATTGAATCACACTTTTCATAACACTTTTTTTTCAGTAAAGGAAAAGCATTACATATCACTTGGTTACTGATGTTTCTCCATGCACAACTAATGCAGGACATTGTGGAATCTGGATTTAAAAATTGTGATGAGGCAACAAAATTGTAATATGTATCTTTTCGTTGTAAGACAAACATTACAATTTGTACTACAATACCATTATCAATTGAGTTTTTGTATGCAGGTTTTGTACATAAGTATCTAAAATAATACAATGAAAGCCGGAAAATTATACTTATTATTTGATTATGTGAGGTAGGCTTATGATAGGTTTTGTAGTTAAAAAAGGGACTTTACAACTACATAATGGACCTAATTGGCATACAAAATGAATTTGCAGTAAATGTAGTTGCTTTGTAACAATAACAGAAAACTATTGGTTTGATAATGTGTTGGTAATTTTGAAAGTTGTGCACAACATACCCTTTTTATGAAGATCATATTAGAAAGATTTTACAGAAATATAGTCCATTAAATCATGCTACATGTACATTACTGATATGATGTGAACTATGAGATTATTTACAGTGAAGGTAAAGTATGCCAACTGAACTGGAAATGAAATAAACTTTTAAGTCGTCACCTTAAAACTAATACACATCCATGCACACTTTGAAAACCTCAATCACAGTCTGACCAGCAGACTAAAAGCTGATGCAATTTCAAAGGAAGTCAGATGGTGGAAGATCCTGCATATCATCAGTGCTTGTAAGACTACTTCGTCTGCTACTATGAAGTGATGCCATTGGAGATGACTGACAAAGTAATGGATCAATACCAATGCGAAGTGTATTGTCTTCATTCATGTCATCTACATGTACACCTGACTGATTTGAAGATGCAGGCAAATCAGATGCATTACCTTGAGTTTCAGGACAAGATGCAGAGTTTGTTTGTTCACAGACCCTCTTTTGTTCTTGCTTCGCCTCCTTGATGTTCAGATCTATATCAGAACTTTGTAGACGCATGAATTCAGCTGCAATGTTTTCTGTCTTAGTTTCATCACTCAGGGCTGTTGCAGGTACATTGTACTGTTTACATCTCATCTCAAGTTCCTGAAAAATTTTAAAAGGGACTTTTGGCAAATATGAAAATAAGAGAGGGTCTCAAAAGCTGGGAAGGTTTGTATTTCACTGGACTGTCCCGACTGGAACACTAGCATTTCATTGGAACATCTCGCACAACAGGAAATAGTCCACTTGGTGCATAGATCACTCTGAGACAGTATTCCAATGACAATGCTGTGTTTCCATTGAAACATTGTGGAATGAGAACAAGGCAATTGATATGGCATATTCTGAATGACATACTGCCTGGTTCGATTCAACAAATGAGACAGTACTTCTGCTCAAGGCAGATTATGATTTAACACACATGAGGATGGGTACATAAATCCTTCCTGTAGACCTAATAGGCTGATCCCCATGACTGCCTTTTTTTCTGCAGGGAAAAAAAAACGGAAAAACATTTTTCTGTGATGCCATCATGATGTCATCAGATATCAAAGATATGTAATACAAAACTGCTGCAAACTGCTTGCTGACTACAAAAACCTAAAATACAAATCTCAAAATATGGAGGGCCTGACGTTTTGATCCTAGCAGAATCTTTCTCAAAGGCAAAATGACAAGCGGACAGGACAAAGAAGCAAACAGAGAATCAACCAGGATAAATGAATGCAAGAGGACAAAAGGAAAGGTCAAGAAAGATGAACTTAGTGAACTTTATTGTCCTGTGGAAAGAATTGATATGGTTAATGAAGATGTCTAGACTGCCACCGTCACTGGTCCAGATGAAAAATACGTCATCAATGTATCTCAACCAGATCTAAGGGCAGCGTGCTGCCGAAGTAAGCATACGCTCTTCAAGGTTACCCATGAAGAGGTAAGCAAAGGAGGGAGCCATGCGGATGCCCATACATGTGGCTGTGCCATGTACCTGTGGATAGTGTTTGCCCATGAAGGAGAAACTATTCTTGGTTAGTACAAGTCTCATAAGCATCGCAACATCACTGATGGGGGGGGGAGGAGTTGTGTGTCCACTCCTTATGAGAGCAGAGCAAACAACTGTTTTCAGGTTAAAATTTTAAAAAATTACATGCACCTTAATGTACTTCTTAATAAATAAATGGGCAATGTCACTGGATCTTTAAATAAACATCTTAAATAAACTTCTGGGGTTACTGGAAGAAATAAAAATTATAAATTCTCAGGCCAGTTTTGTTGAACAACCATTTATCAGTAAATACTTGTTATTGCCAACGCTGATTTCCCATTGTAGCTCTACATGATATGCTTCAGCTTCAGTAAACAGCCAGCACTGTAACAGCATTCCATTTCTTTCCCTTTTGTGAAAGATGTTTGTCCCCAGTGTGCAAAACTTTAAGATAAAATTGTATCAAATTTAGAACATGTAATTTAGTTTTTTTTTTTTTAGGGCTAAATTGGAAATTTAATTCGACTTTGATTTACCTGACCAGATAAACAATGACAACATGATCTTGGGCTTTGCTCCAGATTGTGAGCGGACTACATTAACATGCAATAAAGATGGCATTAATAATGTCATAATGTAAGAAAAATACCGAATATCACACTATGACATTTTACCTAATAAGGGGTATGAGACTCAACGCGACCTGCTGAGATGGCTAAAATATGATTTAATCCTGTTACTCAAGGGTGCATTATTTCAGGGTACCGCACATGTCTCAAGGCAGGTGAATTTCTAGATGGGTCCTAGAATAGGCCAATAAGGGGAAAAGCATTACTTGACTCTTGTGCAAGTGGCCTGCTGCCACGTCTGATACTAAACTTTGCGGACATGATATTAGCACTCCTTGGAACAATGCCAAGACGTATTGCTAACCAATCAGTGTATCGGGTTCAGTGGAAGCACATGTAAAGAGCCAGGGCCAGTTCTGGGAATGCCACTTGTAATGGCATCATACATTAAACATCAATGTTCATTTGTGAATATGTTTTTCCATTTTCTTTCTTTTTGTTCTGTGTTGAAAGATGTTACAGGTGAAAAAATGTAATTTCTGGGGACATTATCCGCACTTCATAGACAGACTGGGGGGAAATTGTCTAGCGAGTTTTTGCAAGTGTAATTGAGGATTTTTCCGTGAGGGTCCTGAGTAGAACAGTGAAGGAGGAAATACCGCATGGTACGCCCAGGCGCACACAGGTGGCGTGACACAGCCTAAAGCAGAAACACAGCCCCATAAGAGAACTCACAATACCCCGTGCGCAGTGCCACAGGACTTGGCACGTCAGGAGGGACAATGCCACAATGTTCTAGGAGGAAGCCAAGGCGGGACAAGTGCCAATGAGACATCACATAAGGAAGCAAAGGCAGCCCAGCCCCTACAGTTTGGGGTGCCGAATCTACTACAGGCTGGCAACGACGGCACTCCCCGCACCAGTTGGGTTACCAAGTCAGGCTGGAAATGTACATGTAGTCCAGCATGCACAATTGGGCAGAACACATCAGACTACAGATGTGGCGCAACATGCACCAGTGGGAATGACGAGTCAGCACAGAATTTCCAGTCAGCATGCGAATGCAGTCCAGTGCACACCAACAGGGATGACTGATCAGCTTGCCAATACAGTCCAGCTTGCACCTAAGCTGGTAGTATGGAGTCAGCCTGCACATTCTGCAGCATTCTCAACTGAAGTGATGCCGACATTTTTCGTTGCAGCGGGTAGTGACGGAGTGACTGGACGGGTAAACTGTACTTCGGCTGTTATGCCTCCTGTGGTCTCGTCACACCACAGGAACCAGCCTGAGGCAGTCAAGGTGCCAGAGAATTCGTAAAGTAACACATAATGTGCCATTCATGAGTACGTTTAGTACAGATAATACAGCAGGGAGGGACAGTCATTCCCTGTTGTCCTGTCGTTACTTCTCCATCATTTACAACAGCTGGCATTACTCGTGGGAGCCTAGTTAACCCATGGGTGGGAGTAATGCATGGGGCCCAATTTTACACAGGTAGCAGTAGTTTGCCAATTTATTCAGCGGTGCCAGCTCCCTCAATATACACCGTTGTGCTCTAGACACAATCGTCCCATGCTTGGGGCACAGGAAGCAGCAAACCAAATGCAGTGGGCAGTAGTGCAAGTACTGGCAAACTCTGGTCAAGAGAGAATGCTGGGCTTTCGGCTTGCCCTGTTAGTACTGAATCAGGAACTGCATTTGATGGCATTTCGGGGAATCCCAAACCTATCCTGCACATTGAGTCCACTTCTTTGCTTAAGGGATTTGTTTTCTAAGCAGTGAAGAAGATTTGGCATCATGTGTATGTTGACATGTCAGTTTCCTTTGTAGATATTGCACCGGAAGTAGTTGCAGTCTCACAAACCCACTGAAGTTGTACTTGTTATTGTTGATGATAAAATGTTCTTGTGTTCGACAGAGCCTAAAACAAGCAAACTTGATTCATGGGACAAATGAGTGTCAGCCTTTGATACATTCATGGCTGTTTACCTGGTAAGGTGTGACATCCACTGCCGGCCGGTATCTCTACAGCTTGTCCGTTTTGTGGCCGGTATGATCCTCGGCCTGTATTACTGCCTTTCTCGGCCTGTACAGGCTGGTCTGGTCTATTGGAATTTCAAAGTAACTGAGTTGAGAGTTTACTTCCCAGGCCCTCCACTGATGAATGATGAGGATTTAAGCGGATTAGTGTCAACTGCGTTAAAAAGCTAAATTTCTTGCTTGGAGTGGTACATACTTTGAATAAAAGCATGAAGGAATAGGTCAAAGTACAGGTTGCATAATACTTTAAACTTATGACTCTCCTGGTTCACAGTCTTCATCCGTCGATTTTATGAAAGATTCAGAAGGATCTTATGAGAAAACTGTCTTTAGTTTAGACAACATTACTGTGATTCGCTTAAACACGAACACCCACATGAACGACTGTCTAGTGGCTACTCTAATCTGTTGGGCAACCTTCATTGACACCTGAGTATTCAGACCAGGCCTGCAGCCCTGCAAAAGAGAGCCCAGAATAGAGTGGTGCTGCATAATTTCCTTTTTCCCGGTGAATGCCAGTAGCGTCTTTTCATACGCAGCTGGATTACTTGGGACACGATCAGCAGCTGGTGGGTCATCTACACAGTCAACTACGGCCCACCTGGCTGCAAAACGGCTGGAATGGTACGTGTATTGTTCCTTACCTCGCGTATTTTGCCATGTTTTCTTGACTTGGCATGGTTTTTCAAGTCCTTCTTATCTGAAAATAGAGCTGTACTTGAGTCTGTCACTGTACCACGAACAAATTGCCAGACGTAATCTGACAAAAAATCTCTGTTGCAATCCTTCTCCTCCAACCATTTCCAACTAAAGACAGTTCTGATATATTGTGTGACCAGTCTACCACTTTGTACATGTTGCTTATTGTTGGATGAAAAGCAGATTATTTGGCTTGACAGCATGACATGACACGCGGCTCAAAACAGAACAGGTCAGACAAGTTGCAATGCACATGCGCATGAGAGATCCAGCTTCTAGTCTTCGTTCAAGGCATTATTCTACCCACAATGGAAGAGGGTCTTTTTTATATGCGTGCATTAAGTCGTGTCTGTGTGTGATGTCTGTAGATGGATCTGTTCTATAGACTACTCACGTCAGCTCGTTCTGCTCACAATTTTTACATGACACAGCACGAAAGTTAGGCCAGCTATAACAAGCATTTTCACCAGGGATGGAAAATCAATGAAAATCCGGGTAAGTTTCACCCCTGACATCAGGGCCGAATACATTTTGCTGTTTTCTTTGATCGGCAAATGGTACTGGTAGTTTGATTAATCCACAGTGCACAGGTGATTTAATAGCATGAGATTAAACTAGCAGTTTTTCCCATTTGGTTTGTACACGTTTTTCTGCTGCGCAATATTATCGATCTTAATGAGAGAAGTCCTGAACTTCAACTGAGAATTGCTATGAGAACGAAAAAAAATTATTTTTTTTTGTCTTCGTTTGATTACATGTATACCCAAGAGTATCAATATCAAATAATATTTCATAATTTTCACTCAGTTTA